TTGTTAGGTGTGGAGTGAGCGGGAGAGTTTGGCAGAAACAAGACTGCAGTCACGTCCTTCAGTTCCCATGTCCTTCCACAGTGTCCTGTGCAAGAGAGAAGAGGCTGCTGGGGTCAACAGAGAAATCTCAGTTTAGGCCCAGGGGGAGAAGAGCTTTGAGTCTAACCTGAGTCTTGGGAAGGAAAGTGGTTTGGGAACTGTATTTCCGAGGCTTACTCCGGCTTTGGACCTGGAATGATGCCAGTCTTGCCTGATCATGGTTGCTTCATCAGCTTTCAGAGGCCTGAGGCCACCCCTAACTCAGGAGGTCAATCACAGAAGAAGATATGAGTTACACAAACCCCTGGGCTTTGCAGACCATGCTCCATTTCAGTCCCTCACATGTGGCAGCTCTGCCTGGCTGGGATGTGCAGTCCCTTGTAACCCCATGGACCCCCAAAGACCAGGGGAACCCCACACCAGATGACTCTGGTCTGGGAGAGCTGTTGTGAGTCCCTACCTCCTCCTAGAAACTGCTATGGGTACAATAAACACTGGAAGAGCTGCCTGAGGGTCATGCCTGGATAGACACCCACAGCAGAAAGCATCGTGAGTCAGGAATTCCTCACTGCAGCTGCCAACCCAGGTGTTAGCACTGGCTGGAACATGACGTGTTCCCCCTCTGATGGGGAAAATCATTACAATAAAGTAACTCAAGAATACACTTCTCTGTTCCTCTCCAGAACCCTCCAAAACCTCACTATGTCTTAAAAACACCCATTAATTAATCCTGCTAATGGGTTAGTATTACCATTAACCACTTACATGGAGCACACTGGTTCATGCATATCCTATGGTTCACTGAAAGCTGATCTGCAGAGGATACAAAGCCTTAAAGGACCACCTAAAGAGACACAGAGGTCCCCAGCTCATGTACCAGCTAAGACAGCAAGCAACTGAGAAAAAAGCTGGAAGCCGAAGCAGCAATGAGAAACCTTAGTGCCAGACCCAGAATCCCTGACTCTGGACTACAGCACTTCTGGCACAGGTAAAAAACAAACCATTTACGCCTCTCCAAAAATTACCTTAAACTGTGGGATTAGAGTGGCATCTTCTCACCTGGAAGAGCTCACTGGAGACCTGCTGTGCTGCATGCCCATGGAGGGGGCAGTGGAGACAGCTCCAGCATTGTAGGCTCTTACATTGCCATTCAAATCTTACTATTTCCTGCATGCAACCCCTCTCCTCTCCCCACAGCCCACCATTCAGCTGCATTCCTTCACCTCAACCTTGTGCAAGTGCTTGAGATATTGCTTAGGGGTTACTCCAACACCCAACCCTGCTTCCTTCCTTCCCACTGATAAAATGGCTCATGATGGACACCAGGTTGAAAGCCTCAAGAGTGAAAACACCCAGTCCAACCCAGGGAGCAGCAGTACTTCCCTCATTCTGCCCCTGGTAAGTATCCTACACCATTTACCAACCAGGTTCCTGCAGCAGCAAGCCTGAGTGCTTTTACTGCTCTAACACACTCAGCAGCACTGCAGCCAGTGCCATGACGGGGCTGGCAAGGAGCACAGGTCCCTGAGCAGCACCTCAGCAGGGCTAATCCTGCCAGGGACCCATCCTACCACAGACAGCTGCTTTCCTTCCAGTGTGCAAGGGCATCACGACACACAATGAAAGACTAGAAAAAGACTGTCTCAGTTCAGAGTAAATTGGGGGTTGGACTAGATGACCTTTAAAAGTCCCTTCCAACCCAAACTATTGTATGATTCTATGAAATCAAACTGGAGAAATCCCATAATATTTAAAACATTCAGAAGTCCTGCCAAGCACATTCCTCTCTGAGCTTTCGCAAAACCATTGCTGGTCTAGAAGCTAGTAAAGCCAAGGAGAGGGCAAGTCTCTCAAAGCCTGAGCTGGGTATGGCTGCGTGTCTGTGTCGCACCACACACTCGGCTTCCTCGTGGTCTAACTGCATGTTAGCACAACTTTACATGCCTGGGTGGGGGGTGCCTGCCTGCATACAGCTGCTTTGGCAGCAGATGCCACAGATTTGTGTGCATTTGCATATTGGTGCCTGTTTCTGTAGCTTTGCATGTGGGTCTGGCCTGCCATACAGGTGTGGAGAGAGCATGTGCAGAGCAGGGGCAGTCCTCTGCAGCACGGCGTCTGCTTCTCACAACTGCAGTTGTCATCTGTGAGATCCTCTCCTCACGCCACGACATGCAGGGTGATAGCAGGCATGGAAGTCTGTCCTGGAGGATGTACGCTTTGAGACCATGAACATTTATAGTAATTTAGGGCATATTTTCTTAGTGACTTCACCTTTTGAGCGCAGAGGAATAGCTCTTGGATTGTATCACAGCCAAGTGCCCTGTGGGCCAGGTGCCGTATCTGGAGCAGGTTTACCCAGCCTGGGGGGATTAGTAGGGGTTGCCATTCCCCTACAGCCCTTTCCATGCTGCTGGACTGCTGCAAGAGCAGCAGCTTGGGCTTGAGATACAACGCAGCCCCACGCACGGGCAGACTTCACCCAGCACTATGGGACTAGTGGCTCTCTGCTCTGATGCTGAGCTGCCCAAAAGGGTTGTGTGATTTGAGGGGCCCAGAGTTTCTGCCCGCACCCCAAGGACCACAGCCCCTCTTGGCCTGAACTGCACACAGATTATCTTTATTACAGGACTGTTATGTTTGCACAGTTTAGTGATTTAATATCAGTTTAAAGCCTTCTCTGTGAGCAATGCTGTTTGAAGTCATGCTTTCCTTTTAGCCTCAGCTTGCCAAGACTGTAAAATGTTTATTGCTAATGGTGGAAAGGCTTAAAGAAGCCAAGATAACTTTCCCAGGCTCATTATTAAGACTGTTCAGATAAGTAAATGAGTGAAGAGTATTACACGGACTTCATTAAATATCAACCAACACCAACAGCCATTCATTTATAACACAACGGCAGGGCATGGGAGCACCCAGGAACAGAGCTGAGAAAGGTATGAATCACATGTGATAGGAGAGATGAACATGACAAGGGCTGGATTCCCCATGGGGCTCCAAGTGTGGCTCCCAAGGTCAGGCAACCCAACATCTGACTGAAGCTCCTGCAAATACTGTAGATTCAGAGCTGATGAAGTGGCAGGGTTGGTGTGGTTCATCTCTCAGCTGGGGAGGGCTGCGTGCACATGGCACAACAACATGTCCTTCTCCCTCATGCAGCTGTGGGTAAGGACAAAACTCTCCAGCTAGGGGAAGGACTGTCAGTGCCTGGATGTCTGTGTTCAGTTTCTAGCTTTTTACTTCCTTATAGACAAGTTCTGCCTTCTCTAGTTCCTAGTCACAGGATGCTAAAACCAGATGGAGTAAATTACAGAAACACTTGCTACTGTTCCTTTGATTTCGTGTGCCGATATTCTAAAACTCCCCCTACAACTTTGCTTGGTGCTTTACCCCTCACTTCTGTTCACCACCCACTGCTCTCCTTGAGTTCAACATTCCTCACATAAGGAAAACCAAGGTAAGGTAGTTACTTCTTTAGGAGACCATCCCAAATTATATTTCACCTCCAGTCCTTCCTCACTATGCAGTACTCTCACTTCTACTTTCCTTCTTTATTCTCTCTCACCTGCCTTACTCTCTCACTCTTGCTCTTACTTAAATAATCTTTTTCATATCTCTGTGTGATTGCTAGTGATTCTCACTTGTTTCCTGCCCTTTTTATCCCCCAAAGCAAAACTTCCTTCCCACATGACTCCTTTCAAACATCCTTGCTTACTCCTAACACCCTGTTGCAGCAGCTACTAACCAGTCAGGTCTGGAACTGCCACCTCCCTGCTACATTTTCCTCCCTCATTTGAGGGGTGCAAATTCCAACCAGATTTTGCAACCTGTAGCATAAATTCCTGTTTTCAGCTCCAGTATTTTCCAGCTGCTCAGTGTTTTGAAGCCTCTTCTCAGATCAGCTCTGCCTCCCTGCTAATTTCAGCAGTTAGCTGGACCAGGTACACCTGGGAACCTCCTTTGTCCCTTCAGCTGTGAGGCCACAAACTCATCTACCCTACACATACCTTCTCCTTCCCTCCAACCTGTGTCTGCAGCTGCCAGCTTCAGGCTCTTATTTCTGCTCTGGGATTCCAAGCTCCGTCTCACGGCTTCTCTTATGCTTGTGCTGCAGGTCCCTGCGCCTGCGAGCTGTAGGAACGGACATGAGAGCAATGTAAAGTCCTTCTGAGGTCCCTCCCAACCTCATTTATCCCACGATCTACTGGAAAGGGCATGGAGCAATATCACAAACAATTGTAATTCACACAGATCCAAACTGGTCACAGTTTAGGGCACCAGCTTGCCAGGTTGCACCAGCTCTGAGCTGGCTGGGCCCAAAGCAAGGCTGGACTGGAACATCAGCATGGGGTTGAACCAATAACACAGTCCCCTCATCTGAAATGTCTCTCCGCAGGTAAACACCTGTGGCACGTTCCACTGTTTTCATACTGGCATATCTCTTGCCAGGCACGGTGTCACTGAAACATTTTCCGCTTTGGAAGGATGAAACCTTGGAAAAGAAATAAATCAGGGCTGAACCTCGTATGCTGCGGAGGGGCCTTGTTTCCCACTGCCGGCTCCTGGGATTCCCACTCTGTCCAACTATCTTTGACTCCCTCTCCTGGCTGGAAACACCGGTTACAGCCGAGAGAAAAGAGCAGAGTCCACCAAGCTCACAGGGACCCTCCAGCCTGGGGACAGCCCCCAGCAGGATGCTGAGCCCATTTTGCAATCTAACTCTGTGTCCATTGATCAGTGGGGTTAAACATGTCATTTCCCTCCCCCCTCCTCAGCAGCCCCTGTTGAACCATTTTTAATGCAGCAAGCCTGGGAATGACCATCTTCTTTTTTTTTTTTTTATTATTACAAATCCTATGCAGGGAGGTCAGGCATTACAATCTGAATTGCTGTGGGATATGTCTTTCTGTCCTCTCAAAAACCAAACCAACCCCCCCCCCCCCCCCCCCCAAATTCTCCCTTTATTACCATTTAGTTCATCTGCTGGCATTTAAATTCAGGTTTCAGCCAGCACATCTTTTGGGCCCTGCTCCCATCCAGCTGCGCACGTCTGGACACTGCTTTGAGGCTCCCATTGCTCTGACCGGGTAATTCAGCCACCGCTCTGGCTTTCGGCTCCCCGGGGAGCTCTGGCTGGCAGGGGTAGGCCCCGGGGCCCGCAGATGGTTCTGTGGCCCCGTTTTCCGCCGCCTTTCTCCGCTGCTCTGTGTCCCGGAGGTTGGCTTGGCCACGGACATGGAAGGAAGGCCCAGCTCTGGCAGGGAGAGCCCCGGGGACGTGCCAGGACACCACCCGAGCACTTCTGCTCCCGAAGGTCAGCTCCAGGGACGCTTTAGATATGTAAATATATATAACTGTGCCTTTGTGGATCACAGCTGCAGGCAATGAAATGCCGTTATGAAAGAGGATGAGGTGGAATTAAAGGGCAAAAGCGCGCCCCACGAAGCGGTCCCGGCTCGCCCACTGCGCAATCAGCCGAGTGGGGGGGACACCCACATTTTGGGCCCCAGGCCGAACCACACCAGCGCTGCCCAGCGCGGGGGAAGCGCTTGCGGGTGAGGGGAACCGCCGGAGGCACCCGCGGCCCGGCCCTGCCCGGCCGCCATCGCGCATGCGCGGCGGGTGCGCCATTTCCGGGGCGCCGCTGCCTGGAGACGGCGCTGCTGCGCGGGAGCGCTCCGGTACGGCGGCGGGGCTCGGCCGGGGTGCGGGGACGGGGCTTGCGTGGAGGTGCTGGAGCTGTGGGGTGCGTGGCGGGGGGAGGTAATGCTGGAGCTGTGGGGTGTGAAGCTGGAGCTGTGGGATGCGTGTGTGTGGGGGGGAGGGGGGGGGTGATGCTGGAGCTGCGAGTTTTGGGGAGGGGGGGAGTGATGCTGGAGCTGTGGGGGGTGTGGTTGGGGGGAATCCTGGAGCAGTGGGGGGAGTGTGGGCGTGATGCTGGAGCTGTGGGGTGCGTGGGGCGTGATGCTGGAGCTGTGGGGTGCGCGGGGGGTGATGCTGGAGCTGAGGGGCTGTGCTGATCTCCTCACCCCTTTGCTCACCTCAGTGCCAGGACTTGGGCCGTCAGGGCAGGGACCGAGGATTTCGGTCCTGCATAGCCCAGGCTGTAACAAAGTGAAAGGTGTCCCTGTAAGTGATCTCGGCGCCCCGGGACCTTCCCCAAGAAGCCATGGGAAGGTGTGGTAGAAGTAAGCAATTTAGATGTCTGTTGCTGCAGGCGGAAGCTGGTTATGTGGGACAGGTAGTGTTTTGCCATGCAATTCCTGTGTGACACCTGAGAGTGGTATAGTGTGCTGTGACTCTGAATAGGAGTAGCGCAGGACAAAAAGGCGTATTTTTCACTCCCAGGTCAAGCTACAGGAAGTATACCAGGCTCGTAATTTTATAATTTTTCACTCATCTCTACCTACTTGCTACTGGATTTGGAAATTCAGCTCCCGGTTCAGAAATATTGGCAGCACACTGAAAACTAGATTAAGCCTACCTTAATACCCACACAGTGCTGGCATAAGAGTCTGTAATTTTCTCACCTGCTAATCCAGTCTGTGAAATACAGCCATTTCTTGTACTCCTGACTGCCGCTCCTCCTGAATTGCTCAAAACATTCATGTGAGCAGACATGCTGATCGATGTGCATACTTGCCAGAGAAGTTAATGAAAAATCCTGTCTGGGCTCAGTTTAGGAAGTTTCTCAGAAAAGGGTATGATTTGACCAAATGTGAGAATCCTGCCAAACTGGGTTGTGTTTACTTTGCTTTAGTTTCCAATTGGACATAGGAGTGTATTTTAATTTGTTTTTTTTTTTTTTTAATTTGGTTACGTTTCATCCAAGGTACTTTTCTACCTGCTATGCAGGATAAAGAGATTAAAGAAACCTGCATTTTCTAATCTTAGGAAGCTAATTAAAATGTCTGAACTGTGCTTCTGGCTGTAATGGCCGTTCTTGGAAGGGCAGTCTCCTTGGCCAGGAAACAGAGGGATACAGGGCATAATAAATACGCTTGTTAGTTCATGGGATGTTTTGTCATGTGTAGCGCTTGTTTTTTGACAGATTCCTGCTACATTATGTCAGGAGACAGTGACTGCACCAGGACAAGTCCATCAGCAGGGTCTCCATCAGACAATGAGTTCTTGCCAGATCGGCCAAAGTATGTTTGTTCGCTGTCTCCTGATCTCATTACCAAAGCCCGGGAAGAGCTCCAAGAGAAACCTGAATGGAGGCTCCGTGATGTGCAGGCACTCCGAGATATGGTGTGCAAAGACTATCCCTCCCTGGGCACCAGCCTGGACGATGCTTTTTTGCTAAGATTCCTCAGAGCCAGGAAGTTTGATTATGATCGAGCGCTTCAGCTTCTGGTGAACTACTACACCTGTAGGAGGAGCTGGCCTGAGGTCTTCAATAACTTGAAGCCATCTGCAATAAAGCCTGTCCTAGAGTCGGGTTTTGTCACTGTGCTGCCTCGTCTGGACCCAGAGGGACGCCATGTCGTCTGCATCCGTCCAGGTACTGAAATGCATGAATGTCTTTGTTCTCTGTCTTTGAGGTGTGTCTGGGCCAAGTATCTGTTTCCTGCTCTCCTGTGAACAGTGGTTACTTACACAGAGTATATGACTTCTTTTTGAAATTTGAAAAGCTAACTTCTGAAGGGACACGTTTGTCGTTAGCCAGCATTATACCAATTCCTCTTCATTAGTCAACGTTATGGCAGTTCCTTTTCCTGTGTCAGCAATAACTGCAATTATGTCAAAATGAAAATGCAGTGAGGTGCGTTGATGAAATATTAGATGATTCAAGAAAAATTAATGTGTAGTAACTCAAATTGAAACAGGGCCACTGGCCTACAGTTAGAAGCTTGTAATTTGCTTTGAAGTAAGTGGAGAGGGGAGACTGTGGCACTGACTCCCGTGTAAACAATCGGAGCATTCCATGTGCTTTTGGTGCTGCCAGGCTTTCTGTAAATTTGTCTTCATTCATTCTCCTCTTTTCCATTTACCTGCTTTCTTTCTGAGCTGAAACTGCTTCTAATAAGCTGTGCTGGGTGGAGAACGGGGTTCTTAAAACCATTGTCTTTGCTCCCTGAAGTAAACATGAGATGCCATTTATCTCTTGCTTAAGAAGGGCTGCTCTGAACTAGGACTGTGGCTGTTAAAGACTAATTTTTAAGAGTCCAGGAAAATAGAAAATCAGTTTTTGGAATGTGTATTGTTAGTTTATATTTACTCTCCGACTTACCATCTATGTCTTGTAACCTCAGACAGATGGACACCCAGTAATTATCCGATTACTGAGAACATTCGTGCCATATACTTAACGTTAGAAAAACTCATTCAGTCCGAAGAGACCCAGGTGAATGGAATTGTAATCCTGGCAGACTACAAAGGAGTCAGCTTATCTAAGGCGTCTCATTTTGGTCCTTTTGTAGCCAAAAAAGTGATTGGAATTCTTCAGGTAAGACCTGAACTGGTGGGAAAATAAGCTTGTGCATTGTAAATGACTGCTTCTGTGTCTAGAGTTCTTGACTATGTCACCAGAAACTTAAGCATCTTGGCTTTTACTAGCAGTGTTAAAACATGTTTCTGCCCAACCAGTTTCTCACACCCTTGCCAACTTACCTCACTTGCCCTTTTTGACTTTTGCATTCCTAAAACTAAGTTTGCATTAGAAATGCAAACTTTGAGTTGGAACAGAAAAAAAAATAGTCCTGCTAGCTAGTGACAAGGAAGAGAGCGAGCTGTGAATTACAGTTAAGAGAGAAAAGACACCATTTTGCCCGACTGCTGAGGAATGGCTCATTACTTAAATTGTTCTTGTTGGCCGAGGTGGAGCTGGCCACTGGGCAAGCACAAGTTCAAGTACTGCTGCATAAATTTTGCAGAGGACTTTTGAGTGGGTGTGATACCCGTTCCCTGAATGAAGAGAGGCTTCTTCAGCATAGGGGACCGCAAAAGACACAGTAATAAAAAAGATCTCCGACTAGGTGTTTGGAAGGAAAATGATGGAGAGCAAGTTAGAGTGAGTGTATAAGCACAAGTGGAGTTGTACAAAATAGGAATGTGAAAGGAGTGAGGAGTAACCTGGCCAAAGTGGCAGGAAGGTCTGATGATTTTAGTTGACGTTCTACAATGCTATCTGGAGGAGTGAGATGAGGAAAAATCTTGAAAGAGTTCATTCCCTCATTACTTTTATTCCAGCCTGAGCTGGTTATGTTCTTTGTTGTATCTGCAAGGGGAGAAGGAATTATAGAGTGAATCAGAGGAGCTTATGGAAATGAGACTCTAGTGAATTTATGAATGCCTGTATAAGAACTTCCTCCTTTAAATTATGATCTAAATATGTGTCATTTAACTGTCAAGCCCATATTTAATTTGCACAAATAAAGTGATGGGTGTTCTGCTTCTATTAGTGGAAACCATTCACAAAACAAAAGCTGGACTCGGTGAAGGACATAAAAGTATGGGTGGGTATAAATGTGTTGCATCAAGCTTCCTGAGCTGCATTTCTTGCAAAGGTGAGCTAATTTACTGGCCCTTATAAGGAGAGAAATACTCCTGCAATGCATATTGTCTGCTTTTCACTCCAAGCATTGACTGTTTGCTTTGTATATGTAGAGCCGGTTACGAGGGAAATAAACTTCACTGTGGCACATGAGACCTTCATTGCTGATCATGAGCTCTTTCAGAAAAATGTTTCTGCAAATAAATTTCTCCAGTAGAAATCTCATACCTAACTGTTGTTTTAAACTGTCTTGTATAGGAGACACTGTGTGTTCTCTGTTGGCAGCAGAGCTTGTTTGTCTTTCGCAGTCAGCATGACAGAATAGTTGGAATGGCAGAAAACCAGTGATACTAGATTTCTTCCTTGTATCAAAACACATTTTAGAGTATCTTGGGCACCAAATTTTGTAGTTGGAAACACGCAATAGAACCAGCCTGCTCTGGTTCTGAGCGTGGCACGCTCCTCAGAAGCAAGGGACATCACTTTAACTGCATCCTTCTCAGTGTTGGGAATACCTGAAGGACAGTGATTACCTAAGTGTCTTTGTCAGGGAGTTGACAAACAACTTAAGAAATGAAGATTTACTGACAGCAATATATTTCTTGATGCAGGGTTTACTTGTCTCTTGAGTTTATTTTTATGCCCGTGGATCTCATCCTAAGACCCTTCCTTATTACAAGGTGCATTTCTTTTGCTGTACTGCTTTATGTTGGTACCTCAGATGGAAATTTGGGAGTCAGTGGGTTCTGCTGGCAGTCAATCTCAGGAGACTTTAAAAATAGGAAGGTGGCAAATGTTTTTTAAACTGCATTATAAAAATCTTCTTTACCCATTCAGGATGGATTCCCCATTCGAATAAAAGCTGTTAACATAATAAATGAGCCTCGTATATTTAAAGGCATTTTTGCAATCATCAAGCCTTTTCTGAAGGAAAAGATCGCAAACCGGGTAAGGATTTGTGTCATTTTAACATTAATGTTAATGTTTTTAAGTTCCTTGTTTGGCCACTGCAAGTAAAAACTGTTGAAAAACTCCACAGCTAGGAAAATGTTGGTGTCATTTACTTGATCTAACTGGTCTGTTCTGCTTTAATTTTTAATGATATGTCTGTTGGGAAAATTCTGCATGAGAGAAGCTTTGAGGAATTGAATATTGGCATACCATTAATATGGATCTTTAATACACATTATGTATTCAGGATGCTAATTCCATCCCTGGGGTTGGATTATTTTGTCAATTAACACTTAGTTTATGAGGTGGTGTCACAGGAAATCTGTGTTGTCCCTTCCTTGCTCTTTTCCCTTATACGAGTGTCCTGCGTGGCACAAGTATTCTTGCCACAGGACTGGATTTAGTCGCAAAGGATTATGCTTTTTTCCACAAGGATAAGCACCTCCAATCCCATGAACCAACTTGGGGACGAGTTGAATTTGGAATCCCTCTGCGCAGCCTAGCAGATGTCATGTCTCTCTTGCTGGGATTTAAGCTGCACTAGACTTGCACTGTCTCAAGGCTTCTCTCACTTCTGCGTCTAACTGCACCTGCCCAACATTGGATGCTGCCACTTGCCCATAAAGACATCACATCTAAAATTTGCTTGTTAACTCAAAATAAGCCTGTTTTTTGACTGTTCCAGTAATTTGCTGTAAAGTGTTTGATATGCACTATTAAAGCTATTGCTTTCTTCTCCAGTTTTTTCTTCATGGCTGTGATCTGAATTCCCTTCATCAAAACATTCCTCCAGTGATCCTTCCTGAAGAGTATGGTGGTACTTCAGGGAAACTGGACATCTCTGCATGGAATGAGCTGCTGCTAGCCTCTGAAGAAGACTTTCTGCATGATTTCTCACAGCTGGTTCTCCCATGTGACAGCTCTCCCCATGACATGCTAGTGAGTGGGGATGCTGATGAAAAACAATGTGATGATTCTCTGCGAGGCATGAAACCTCAGCTCTATTACTGTTATTAACAAACCAGAGAAGGGAAGTATTCCAGCACAGTTAAGATCTGTTCTGATAGGTGATGTTGTGAACTCTGCCTTACTCCTAAACCTGCTGTTTAGGAACAGACTGCTGAGGCACTTTACACTGTAGAACCAAAGGAAGCTGAAGAGGGCACAATAGGGGCAGGGCAGAGTTCAGGGAGGATAAAGGCAAAGAGCACAAGTTATATAGAATACTTGAGGCTCGTCAACCTCTGTGTGACTGATGCAAATTGTCCTATTTTTTCCAATGATAAAGAAAAGAAATACTGCAGAATGGTAAGCTTGATAGTTTCTTATCCCCTCCCAACACAGGTGAAAAGTAACAACGATTTACTAGCTTTGTGACCATCTGTTCCCTACCCCTTCTGCAAACACTGGTTATCCAAGACAAGAAACTTGCTTTTGAACCTTGCAAAATGTAGTTCTGACAGTGAAGATTGCTTAAAAACATAGAAGTCTAACTTGGCCTGTCCTCTGTCACTTGGTTCAGATTGTGAGTTGGCATTTCTGAAATACCTCAATGAAAATTTGTCTTGAGTTAATACAGAGCAAAGCTGTCTTACCCATGAATATCAGTCTTGAGATCATCTCTGAAACTTTCTCACAGTAGAAAGAACTAACTGGTGGATTAACTACTATAACATCTATGCCAAGGCTTATTATAAACAGATGCAATCTTCATTTTCAGAAAACAGCAAGTTTTTCAGATCAAGCACTAAGGCTTTTGATTAGATAACAGCTTTAAATAATGAGGTTTGGGACCAAATAAGAAAAAGCTGTCAGCCACCTTCCCACATTGTCAGTTGTTCTTTTCTTCATCTGGCTGTGACGAGGAATTGGGTAAGTAACTCTTACATAGAATTTGTAAGGAGGCTTTGTAGCAGTTGGCATATGATGTATAGAAGGCAATACTTGAGGTAAAATAGCAAGGTGCTTCTTTAGCTTGTTACTTTGGACAGAATTTGAGTTAAAAGTCTGTGAAACCAAATGCAGACAGGCTATTTGAAAGCACATTCTTAAATTTCCTGGTATTGTAGCATTTTGTTCACTGTGCTTGTCGGCTCTTTTGTGAAATGTTACAACTTTGTTTTCAACTTTGACCTCTTTTGTCTTTGGTTGTCATGTTCCTGTATGAAGTGAGCCTTTAATCATCTCTGTAATATTTACTTGTAGCTTGTATGCCTGTGCTTCTAGGTCTTTGTCTAGGGACAGAACTAAGACTGCAATATCAAATCAGGGTAAGATACCTATGTCTAAATAAGCTGTTCCCACTCCCCAAGTTCAGTCTGTTTAATGGTCTTGAATTGGAACTTTACTCTCAGCACACTCTTTGCACATGGTTTTTTTGGCACTGTAAGAGCGTGGGAATGAGAAAAACCTCACTAGGACCAGGAAAGCACACCCTGTTACTTCAAGGTGAAATATTTCACTATTTGGTGAAAAAGACCATCCCTTCTAATTGGAGGCATCTCTAGAGCACTTCTTCTGGGTGAAATCTTTATTTAGTGCCAAGTGTCATTATAGGTACCAGTTATGTTGCTGTAAATATAAAACTAAAGCATTCTGAGGATGTCAGACATTCATTTTTCAAAGTGCCAAACTCTGTGTTGAATGTCTTTCTTCCTCTCAGTCCCCCTACAGCATGATTTGCACTGCCAAAAAGAGATTCCTCTACTACTGTAATGACTTTCCTGATCTGGCAGCAGACCTCATCCTGGAACTAGGGGGTAACAAATGCCATACCTGTCATCCAAGCATTATAAAAGGAGACTGGGTTTTAAAAAGGGGTAAACGATTAATTTTTTTTTCTGGGTGACAGTTCAGAATTTGTGGGAGTAGGGAACTCATCACTTGAACTGTTTTAGACTAAAGGTGGGAAGAGATTAATCTTCCTCACTGAAAGAATCTGATTTTTCCTACCTTTAAGTTAATTCTTATTCTTTTTTTGACAGCTGTTACCTTTAGTGTGGGGAAGACAAAACCCTACCATTTTCAGCTACTTACAATAAGCTAGCCACTTCCTTGCTTCTGACCAGAGCCTGCTGCATGTTTTGCAGAGATTAATTCAGTTCTTTGTGCCATCTAGCAAGACAGTAGCACACAGCACCAGGACTTAGAAAAGTGAGTGGCTGCCCATGCTGTTTACCTGCTAGAACACAGTGGTGATTATATTGTTTTAGTGCCTCTTAATTCTAGCCACAAGGTGGAATTAAAAAAATAAGATGGATCATTTTTCCTAGAGGTGAAGGCATAACTGGTATTTGATACTCTTTCCTTAATTGTGCTGAAGGGTTTGAAGTGGTGGTATTTTGACAGTTAACCTGTAAGAACAGCTACTTCGATCCCCTTATGTGACTACTCGAGGGAGATTGAATATTCAAGATTCAATTTAGTGTCCTTCAAAAAGAAAAAAATCTAGTGGTGTTCAGCAGAAGGCTGAGGAACCTCTGTAGCAACCAAGCCTGTTTCCAGGCTTTTATATTCTCGTGCATGCCTTAAATTGGAGGCAAACTAGATCCATCTCTCCCTTCCCTTTTCTCCTTTGCTTACAGAGAAACTAAGACTAAAGCATGTGATTTAAACATAATGTAGCCTTATCTATTATCAATGCTGAAAATAGCCTGTGTTATGCCTCCAGAGCTTTTTCTTAAAGCTAGCTGGTGGGCAGTTGATGTCATGATGCTTGAAGTCAGCCAGGCTTATCTTTATCAAGCATCCAACTGTTACTTCTAATTTGCTCTTTCTTGGCTTTAGAACTCAGACAGACCCAAGCTGCAACTTTATTGAGCTGTATCCCAACCATTTTAGGTTCATAACCAGTACTTGACTTGTCTTACAGAAAGCACAGCCCTGTCTTACATGCACCTGGCTCCTGAGATGCTATTTGAGCTTTAGCACTTACTAGCAAAGAAATTAGTTTGTTTCCAAAATTTCTCATGTCAACATTTGGAAAATAAACACTTGTTTTGAGTCCCCTTATCTGCAAGTTAAAAGAGAATAGATATGAGAAGTTGTGTTGGTTTTTTTTTTCCAGCACTGTTTTTTTCCACTTGAAATAACTTCCAGAGGTTATGCCTTGGCCAGTACGTAAGCCATCCCTACCAAATCCAGCGCATAATAAGGAAAGATACTTGAACTGCATTGGGCAGCCATGACTTTGGGCATTAAGAGGGACAAAGGGTAGCTGCATGCTGTGCACAAAAGTACTTGAATTTATTCTCTTGCAACTGGGTGTTACAGACCCTGAGGCATTTTCAGGAACTGGGTGAGTTATTATTGTTTTTGTTAACTCTCATTTTGGCATGAGTTATTCATAGTGTTATTCAAACTAATTTGCTTTCTGTTGTATGTGGGCCTAGAGGTGTTGGGTAGTTAAGGGTACATCTTATTTTGACAAAATTTATTTTTATATTGCATTTTATAAAATGGAGTGGTCAAAATGTGTAATTTTATGATGCATGACCAGGTGATTAAACACATTGTAACAGCTGCTAATTTGATATTTTAAGTATGTTTGACTTGTGTCACATTGGATATTTTATTGTAAAAGCCAATAGCAACATATCCATAATGGCAACTGTGTTTAGTGTGGAACTAAGTATAATTGCCACAGCATTACAGTTGAAAAAGGTGTTACTTTCTACTACAGAACCAAATTTTACTTGAACAACTTCAAGGAATAGGATTTGACGTTCAGAAAAGCACAGGGAAGATGTGTTTCAAAGAAATATATTATGACTTACTCTTTGCTGCATGGAGAAAAGATCCAGTCACATCCAAAGGGACACACTGATCACCATGGTAAGCAGCTGCTGCTGTATGTAGTATTGTGCATTGTGGAATAACTGCTGCTTTAACACTTCTCAACAGAGCTGGGACAGTTTCAGTAGTTAGTCCACTTTATTCAAATAAGTTTACAGTGCAAATGCCTTAATGTCAATAAGAATCATTTAATGTACATTATTTTTATAAGCATATTAGATAAGTGAAATTAATTAGAAGCTGTATTTTGCCACCATAATCAAAGTTGTTTAAGCTAGTCATACACTTACCACTCAATATTTGGCAAATAGACTAAAAACAAAGTTACCATAACAGTTGCCTTTTAGAAAGGGCAAATTTGTTCTTTAGAGGAAGTAGCATTAACCAGTTTTTCAACCTCAAAGTTCTGTTCTTTTGGTAAGGAATGAAGCAGGTTTTTGCCACAACACAGGAAGGTAAGTATAACTTAAACTTTTGCTTTAAAATTTTTGCAGTGAAATATAGAAATCAAGCAGCATGGCTTACACTTCCAGGAACTGAAGCATTAGCATACTAGTGCATTATGCTGAATATAATTGTTCTTTAAAATATATTACTTCATATTTAGTTAGATGTTACTTCCATTCAATAGAAAGGTTGTGGCTATAGGACAGAACAGACATTTTGTGCTTTGACAGCACAGCTGTAGTGAATTTTAAAAATGCAGTAATAAGATAATCATGACTGAAGGTTAAAATAGGAAGATAATGAAGAATTTTGCTCCTGCATCAAGCATATGCAATACATAACTTTCTATTCACCTGCATGTTAATATCAACGTAAGAAACAGTAACATGGACAGTGTAACTAAAGCAATACATGAACATTTTGGCTTTCAGAAAAAAGTTCCCCACTTTTGTAAGCTCAGACAGGTGCAGCAATTTAACTGAAGTCCCTATTAGTAAGGACAAGAGGAGCCACTAGGGTCCAAAAATAGAGAAGGAGACAGACCCAGCTGGATGTTATCTTCACCCACACGGCTGGCCACTTACTTGTCATTGTTTTAAAATCAGCATCAGGGCTGAAAAGTAAAGAAGTCAATTAATAAATACAGAAGGTGCTTTCCACTATTCCTTGCTACCTCTCATATGAATCTAAAGTTAAGACAATCATTGGGGGCAGTCCAATGCAAGAGCCTTGGCAGGAGCACAGTGAGACAACCAGCAGTTTCCCATGGCTCCTTCATAGGCTTGTTGTTCTTGGTAGCCGGTTTTCAAACTCAACCTGTTTACATATGTTGATGTACTACTCCTAAATGAAATATCTGAGTAAGCTATGCAATAGACTCCCTGGCTGCTGCTCTGTAAGTGTATTTGCTAATTAAATAGAATATGCCAGTCCTGGGGAAAGCAGTTGAGGTTATGTCCAGCAGAGGCTATGTCCAAGTGCTTCAACAGATCTAGGACATCATAACTCTGTTTATGCAGCATGTATGGCTGTCCCTGCACAACCTTCCCAGGGTGAAGAGCCAGTAACATTAGACTGGCTTCTGGCAAACTTCTCAGGAGGCCACCTTAAACCAATTTCATCTGCATCCTTCCTGCTACTTGCCTATCTGAAGGATGGTAACCATACTTCCTGCCCTTGCAGCTGTGAAGCAGTCCACTAGGACTACAGCTGCTGATTCTGCCTTTTTACATCTTAATTCAGCAACACAAAACTGAGACTGCACAAGGTGACTGGCATAGGGACAGCACCCTAACCAGCTGGGCAGGAGTCTCTATCCACCTAGAAACACTGGCTGGCACCCATAACCCATCACTTTTTCACTCTTACCTGTACCAGTTCGTGAGTGTCATCATGATGTAAAGAGAAGCAAGGAAGAGCATGAAGTGAAAGAAGGTGTAGCTGTACTGAACACCATCCTTCTCATTATCCATGACACGGCGCACTTCTCCTTCCTCTGCAGCCCCACTGCCAATTCCCACAGTATCCTCCAGCATGGCACTGTCACTCCCAGACAGTATCAGCTTGTTCACTTGGCTGTTACTTGAAGAGCGAATGCTGCAGTGTAACCCAAAGATAAATGGGGTTAAAACCTCCTTTTTCAGTTAGCTACGTTTGCTGATAAAGCAAGCAACAGAACACAGTGAATGTCTGGGACTAGCAAATACCATTTTTTAAATCCATCTGGAAACACAAGGAAGTTCCTCAGAGAGATCTGGTTTTATCCGAGCTTTTATTAACCTAATTAAACAGCATTCCTAATACAGGTCTTGTAACACATTTTGTTCTCTTACCTGATTTGAGCTAATAAAGCCTATCCTCACCCACAAAATAGAACACAGTTTTATTAGCCGTATTTGGGCTTGGGCCTGAGACAGCAGCTGGATATGAATAAATGCAGGTACATTTTTCACTACATCCAGATTCAAAGAAAAAAGGCAGAAAAATCCTAATTTTTTATCATTTGACAGCAGTGCAGATCCTACCTGGAATACAAGAGGCAAAGGACAAAGATAACCAATCCAACAACACTCTGGGCATCCCACCACTGCAGGGACTTGGGTGGAGCTGGAGTAGTAGGCACAACAGTGGTATTTGCTGGAACAACTGTGGGTGTAGCTATCTGGGTGATGATGTTCAGCAAACTTGGGTTACAGTTTCGTTCTGAAAGATTAAGGCAAATTAAGGAGAGATGAGCTTTACCAGAATAGAGCTAAGAAAAAAATGACAGGTAAGCTTGCAATTTTTTATTCCTTTTAACTGCTGATCTCTTCAGTTCCCCAGGGACAGCAATGGCATGGAACATTTTTCCTTCCTGTGAGCTAGGCAAGGATGTAATAAATAAATAAATAAAAATCAGAAGGCCCTGGACCTGTTTTTTTGGCCCTTGCAGATACCCCAGTTTGGTTCTGGAAAGAGGCAATCTGATGCTTTCAGAAAAGTCAGCTTTACTGCCTCACTTTATCTAGACAGAACAGCAATCCCCACACAGTGATCTGTAATAACTACAAGCCACATCAACACCTTGTGCTTTCACACCAGACTGTGTTACTCAAGACAGCTTGTGCCTTACCAGGCTCATTGGACATGGCTGACCAAGTGAGATACATGGTGTAGAGCGTGATAACAGAGGACTGGAGGAGGCCAGAGCGAGACTGATACTCCTGTTCAAAGACAAGAGCAAGCCAAGGTCAAAAGGGCAAGTTTTACCTACAGTTGGGATAGTCTTACTCTGCTGATACAGATGCAACAACTATTATAATGAAAAACTTTATTTTTTAGGAATGCATTGGGCTTTGTTTGATGTTTAAAAGACCAGAAGAAACTCCTTAGAGTAATACAATTTATGCAGTGAGCAACTCAAACATGGAAGGAATGAGCAAACCAAATCCAGTTTTTCTGTGCCCTGGACTCAGCTACAGGTTCTTATGGAGTTAATCCCAATTTTCTTAATAGTTCTGTAGATATTAATCTAGCACATGATTTATTTGAGCAATACTAGTTCAGAATCAAGCAAGCTTCCTCTCATATTACACGTGCTTATCCATAATTTCAAAGCCACAGTATTAAGCCAAAAAACCTCCCATCTTATATTGCTTTCCCTAACAGTTTTTCTGTTCTGCCAGAGCCTTCAGCACTAAAACCACACTAGCAGTCCCCCACATGGAAATAAAGTCCAAAACAGTGTTAGCAAAAAAAAAAAAACCTATCTTCAGGAAATGCGTCACTACACAACACAATGGATTGGTTTCAGAGCAAGAGGGTTTTTGTTTGTGTTTTGTTTTTTTTTTTTTTTTTTTTTTCCTCTCAAATGTTCCTAGGTAACATACATACGATAGCCAAATTTTAAAGTTCTTATGTCTGACTGAATTGGTACTACATCCTTCTTACTTCCCTGCTTAGTATGCCAGAAGAAAATAGCAGAGAAAAATAATACCTGAACTTTAGGAAGGATAGAAACAATGGAAACAGCAATGCACAGGATCACATTCATGCTTATGAAGAACTTGTTCTCAGTGCAGTCATCAGGCTTTGTGTAGAAAACACAGAAGAGAACAACAAAAACCAGCGACAAGGCATAGAATGTGGTTGTACAGAACAGAGCTGGAGGGGGGGGGAAAAAAAAAAAAAAAATCAATTAACTGTTACATAATGCATGTAGTTTAGCAGTACATCTGAGGTGATTTAATGACCAGCTACCACTGTAAAGAGACAGCCCCTCTTTTTCACTTGGAAGTCTAGTTCAGAAAACTGGACTAGTAGAATGCATTTTTATTATAGGAATGGCTAAATTTCTGTTTTGGCTCACTAAGTAATATAACTCGGAGGAAACCCAATGCTGCCAATAAGAGGAGTAAGAGCTGCCTTTCAGTGGCAGTTTAATTGGTTTAACTGATGTCAAGCCACAGTGTCAAAAGGAGAGTGCTTTTTGCACACTTTTAATGGGCTATTTACAAGCAATTCCCCCTTCTATGCTAGAGGCCACCTATTTTCATTTCCATTCTGCTATGTTCCTTAGAAGAAGCTACAAAATGCTGTTGCAGCATTCCTAGCTATGAGCAAAGAACCACAACAATTAGCACTCTGTAATTTAGTGGTCACCTCGGGGGCATGTGCTGAGGCTGCTTTGTGTTGTACTGCAGCCACTGTCATCCACATAACTGACTTCCTGAGGACCTCAGTAGGGGAGGTAGCAAAGCAAAGGTAGAGTTGAAGAGATCCAGGTGATGACTTTCAGATCTGCTAGTCACAAGCCTAGAATATTCTGCATTTTATTTAATGAGAAAAAGGCAACACTGCAGTCATTAATTCCAAACGTTCACAGTAGTGACTCAAGGAGACTTGTGGAGTATAATTCTAGGTATGTTTGCAAACTAGTAATTAATATTCTGCAGAGTACTCACCAGCAGAAGCAAATCCTTTACAGGTTAAGATTCCTACCTGCATACCAACATTTAGAATTTCCCTCCTCCATTCTATCAACCCAGTTCTCATTCCAGGAGTGAGCAAAGTCCACGAGAAGCACCAGCTGGATAAGAATGAAGCAGAAGGCTCCACAAATACCAATAACAAACCAAGCTAGAAAAGGGAGCAAGAAAAAGAGGGTTAGTTTTCATCATTTGCATGCTACACCAGTTAATAAATAAATAAAAGCTCCTAATTATATTGCAGATAAATAATGAAAAAATCTGAAACTACATTTAGAAATGCAGATGATGTTAATCAGTTTGGCCTCCATCCTGCAGAAGCATGCAAGGAGTCCCAGCTATTTAAGGGTGCAGCTTATGCTAGTCAAGTTGAACATGGGAATGTTTAGCCCAACGTTTTCAGAATGAATGCAAGAATTAACACAAGACATCTTTGTGTACATAAGTACTATCATGCCACATTTCTCTGAGGATCAACAACACTTTCAAGTTCCTGTGATGTGGCCAGCCAGGAAGTTTCTTGCACAGATTTTTCAGAGACTAGGCAAGTATTTAGCACTCGTCAGTGTTCCAAGCTGCCGCTAATCTAAAGCGTCAGAAGACTCAGCCCAGTAGCGATCATGTCACAGAGTACCAAATTATTAATACACAACATTTCTGCCATTGAAAAGAGATTGCTCGTTGCCATTCAGTTGATCACCACAATACGAAGAACCAAGATGATACTCTAATGAAGGAGGACAGAACCTGTGTCTTCTACAAGGTAACTTTCACTATCGCAACAATAGGCTGTTAAGTCTGTGAAAAGGTTTGAATTTATTAAACAAAATTCCATGACAACATATTAACTGTACCTGTCGTAAAAGGCCCTTCAGGAATGTAAAACGCTCCAACCATGATAGCCACAATGGCAGCTATTTTGAAGAACCAGAACCTTTAAAAGAAGATGCAAGTTGAAAATATTGGTCTTTCTCTGCACACAGTAGTCATGCTTTACATGATCTGCAAGCAGCTTGCTATACACAGATGAGTGTCTAACAGAAGTGTAAAGAAGAAAAATTGTGTTCAGTGGGTTTACAGATATTCACCAAATCAGGGGGAGAGGGTGAAGCAATGGTCGAAACACTGCAGATATGGACTGACAGAAACCTTGAAGTTCAACAAAGGCAAATACAGAGCGTTGCACCTGGGACAGAAAACCCCCGTGCAACGGGGCAGACTGGGGGTCGGCTGGCTAGAAAGCTTTGCTGAAAGAGGAGCTCCTGCTCCAGCAAACGGGATGTGAGTCAGCAGCTCATCCTTGCAGGGAGGAAGGCTAACTCTGTGCTGTTCAGCTTGGAAAAGGGAGATCTAATTGCTGTTTTCAGCTACCTAAAATAAAGGTGTAAAGATGACAAAACCAGACTCCTCTTGCAGGTGCACAGTGGAAGGACAAGAGGCAACATACGCAAGATACAAAAAGAGAAACTAAAATTAGATATTGCTAAAAATTGCACAGGTTTCCCAGAGAGGTCAAAGCATCCCCATCCTTTGAGACATTCAAAACTCAACTAGATAAGACCCCGAATAACCTGTCCCATGTTGGTCCTGCTCTAAACAGGGGGTTGGATCATAAGATCTCTCCTTGGTTTGGCTGGGATAAAGTTAATTTTCACAAGAAGGTGGAAGGGGACACAGCCAGGATAGCTGACCCCAACTAGCCATGGGGGTATTCAACATCATATTGTGTCATGCTCAGTATATAAACTGGGGGAGCTGGCCGGCAGGGGAGAGGGATCACGGCTCGGGAACGGGCGGGGCATCAGGTTCCAGGTGTCGAGTAATTGCATTGTGCATCTCTCTTATTGAGTATTTTTTTATTAGTAGTATTATTATTTCTTCTCTCCTTGTGTTGTCCAATCAAACTGGCCTTATCTCAACCCGTAAGCTTTTACCTTTTGCTTCCAATTCTTCTCCCCATCCCGTCAGGGGGCAGGGGGAAGAGTTAGCGAGCAGCCACATGGTGCTTAGTTGCTGGCTAGACTTAAACCATGACGTCTCCAAAGTTCCTCTTCAAATTAAATGGCTCTGATAATTCAGGCATCTATCCCAGAACTAACTCAGTTAAATCAGTAAATCAGAAACCAGTTTCTGCTGGCTTACTGAGTCAGATCAGCCTAGTGAATGACCCAGTGAGTGCTAGACTCAGCACAAGGATGGCAATGTAAGCTAGCTGAAATCTGGCATCCCTGTGGAAAGAGGGGTGCCCAGAGCACAACCTGTTTGGTTACCTAACCTCTGAGCTTTACCAGTGCACTGGACATGCTGCATAAATAGGAAGGTTTTTGGAGCCTAAAGTGTTACTCTGTGTTAAGTTCAAAAGAAACTCAAGGCTGTCAGTGTACAAATAAACAATTTGCCACTGTGTTCAGTAAAGAAACTTAAGAGAGGAAACAAGTTGCAAGACCAGGCAGCTGGCTCACACACATACCCATTGTGTACCGAGGCTCTTGGATCATTGCTTGTTTTCACTTCTATCATGAGCAGAGAGAGGAGAAAGAAGAACACTGCCATGGCAAAGCTGATTCGATAGACAGCTCTGTATCCAACAAACACATCGCAGCTGACAAAGCCATCCACATGAGGTATCCGAGTATGAAGCCCCTCATCACAAAATCCAGGTATCTGAGTAAAGACACAATTCAGTTGTGAATTTACATCTGCATTTGCAGTTATATTCTTTAAACACTCTAACAGCTAAAGCTGTTAGTCAGCTGTCTTCTGGGAGATCTGGTAAGAAACGACCCTGTGCTCAGCTGGCCTGCACAGATCTTATGATGTCTTTCCCCGTGTCATCACTAAAAGCATCCAGGAAGGCTCAGATACCAAAGCAGTAGGCTTCTGTTAACGACTGCCAATCTCCATGTCTGGTCAGGCTTCAGAGACCAGGCATGTACTTAAAAATGTACACTCACTGAATTTACTATTTCAGCTAGAAGCTGCCCAGTACACACAGTCTCTTAACTCAAGGACAAGGCACATTTGCGTGTTCACGCCCCTCGTGTAATCCATTCCGAGCAAAGGCCATCAATAGTCACTGGCACAAGTAATGGTTTTGCAAACAGTTAAAAAGACGTTTCCCCCTTCGTACCTTTTTCAGCTGCTCTTCCATCCCTGGTGCCAGCATAATGCAGGCAAGAACAGTGCTGAGGAGGAGGAGGAAGGCATAGATAAGACGCGTCACCGTTGAATTCTTGCTGTTGGGACAACATCGGCACAGCAGACACGAGGCACCGCTGCACAGGCAGGGAATCTGAAGGACAGGGACAGCAAGAGTGAGGGCATCCCCCCTGCAGCCGACACCGAGAGCAAAGTCCGAACTCCATGCAGAGACACCCCACACCGATAAACCGTTCGGTCGACATTTCGGATTGACACCGTGTTTGAAATCACCCGTGGATCACCTGCCTGCCCGGCCGGGGCAGTCCCCGGGGGCCGCGCCGCCGCCCCGCAGCTACCGACACCGCCTCACACGGGCGGGCCCCGGCCCTTGGCGAGCCCCGCGCCCCGCGGGAGGAGCGGGGTAGTTACAGCCCGGCGCCCGCTCCGCTCCGCGGGGCCGCCCCCGCTCCCGGGACCAGGCTTCTGCCCGCAGGCCGCGGGGCGGGAGCCGGCAGGGTCGCCGGGCCCCCGGCAGAAGCACCGCTGCGGAGCGGGCCCGCTCCCTGGGAAAGAAGGAAAAGGAAGGGGGGCAGTTCGGCAGCCCCGCTGCGCTCACCCAGCTGGCCAGCGAGCAGACCCCCAAAGCCGCCCCCATGGCGCCGCCGCCACCGCTGCCAAACCCCCCGCGGCCACTTCCTGCTCCTGCGTCCGCCGCCACCGCCGCTCATTGGCTGCCAGCGCCGCTCATTGGCTGCCACCGCCGCTCATTGGCTGCCCCCGCCACACCGGCGTGCTCGGGGCCAATGGGAAGGCGGGATGGAGCCGCGCGCCAGCAGGAGGCGGGGCAAGGACGACAAAGGGCGCAGGTGGGGAAATAGTTGTTTATGAACGCTTCCTCCGCCTTCCCCGACGGGAGGTGGCCCTGAGGAGGAGTGGCGCTGATTGGTCGGAAGGGCCAGCGAGCGGGAGGTTCCTCCAGCAGGACAGCCAATCATTGAGGCTGATCGGCAGGCCCGCCGGCCATTCGCTCTCTGAGGCCGCTGGGCGGTACCGCGGCCCTCGGCGGTTGCCATGGCAGCAGCGCGGGCAGCCGGCATGGCGGGCCCGTGGCAAGGGCTGTCGCCGGGCCTATTGCCGCGCCGCCCCCGCCACACGCGGGGTTTGGGGCCGAGCACACTGCGTTTCCCTGCTCCCCGGCGCGCCCCGGGCCCCCCCTCGAGTTCCAGGAGGGGACAAGGACCGCGACAACCGGGATGGCTGAGGCCTCCCGCCGCCCCGCGCACAGCCCTGGGGGGTACACGGCTGCCGCCCGCACTGCCTGAGGCCTGCTCAGCCCCTCGGAGCTGTGTGCATGAGGGGGGAATCTGTAACGCATTCCCACTCGCCTCCCGTCATGGCAGGGACACCGGCCCTTGTGCTTCAGAACTTGTGTCACGTAGCTGCCCCTATTTTTCTGGTTGCTTTGCTGAGCAGTGAATGGTACCCGTGAGCTTCGGCCTGTGTAGTGCTGTAAGGGGGCTCTGGGTGGAAGCGGGAAAGCTCACGAGCCTTTCTGAGGTGGGGTTTTCAAGGAAACACTTCTGCATCAGATCACACTAGGCTCAGTTCATATTTTGAAGGTGTGTGACTGTAAAAGCTAGGGAGGTACTCCTTTAAAATGGAAAAAGTGAAAAGAACCACGTGAAAAGAGACATTGTTCTGCTGCTGCCCAGAGCGCGGGGGCCTCTCTGGTTTTGGGTTACCAGCATACTGCACAACTTGCAGTCTGGAGGAGTTAAACAGCTGAGTGACTACACTCCTCATCACTAAAGTCTGGAAGCAAATGAAATGGATGAGAGGTAGCCATGAGGATACAACAACAGCAAGATGGTGGCAGAAGTTTACACATAAGGAAAGCAATTTAGAGCTGTTTCATTGTCATTAATCTTGCAAAATATGAGAGGGCAGGGTCAGAACTGACTGGTTTGAGGCTATATCCTGGCTATAGCAATTCCAGCTATTGCACATCACTTCCTACTGTGTCAGACCCTTCTTTACTTCACACAGTCCCTTTCCAAAAAACCTTCCATCACAGAAAAGGACAAATAATCAGAATGACAGCTTTATTGCCACCTAAAATTGCCAGGAAATGACAAAAAGCATCCAGTAAACCAGTCACTTATTTTCCACAGCAGCGTTAACACTCAGAGTATGTGAACATTATGTTAACAGAATCATCTCTCTTGTAATCAGCCTCATTCATGAAGATATACAGGGTTCTTTCATAAATCATTGAAACTGTGCTTCCTTCAGATAATATATGAGCCTTTATTATTAACATATTTTTATTGCCCTGTTGGATGCAGCAGCTGGATCTATAAGAAGGCTTTTACCACATCCCTGCTACTTCACTCTTTGTTCACATGAAAGTATGCAGAATAAAGGCAGAATCCAAAACTCTCTGTTCTTTTCCCAGTAATCCTGGGTAAATAATTTCGTAGGTGTATTACTAATAACAATGATGAAGCTCAGCTGAATCCTGAGCCTGAGAATGTTTTCTTCACAGGAAATTTATGAGGCTAATAGTTTTGTTAAGTACTGTGGGATCCTCCACTGGATTATGCTAGAGAAACACAAAGGATACAGATAAAAAGCTTTTTTTCCTTCCACTGTCAACGTAACAGGAGATTTCCAAGTGCTCATTTTACTTCCCAACATAAACCCCTCTGATTCTGCATAACATCACCTCAAACCACACGTGTTTAACGGGAGATAAGGATGAAGTCAGCCTAGTGACTGCCAGCTATGGGAACAAGACAGGATATGGCAGGAGGTTATCCTAAGTTTGTACAAAAATACCCTGCTCTGGTATGTTAATCAGTCCTGACAGCAGAATGAAATGGTGCATCTCTTATGTATATATGTTGCATCCCATACATATCTGTGTGTTAGTTGAAATGCCTAGAATAAAGCCCTTGAAATTTAAAGGAAATGTGTCAGATATAGTCATTTCAAAGTAGTTCTCTGCAGTTCTTTGTGCAACCGAGCTCATAAAAAAATCACTCAAACTTGTGCATTAGTGCTGTTCTTGTTAACCTCAAGGGTCTCCCTTCATGGTAACAAAACCGCAGAACTTTTCCTGATGTTCCCCAGAGTATTTGAGGGTCCCTGCTCCGCATGGGCAGTATTTTTGCAGGTAACGGATCCCACAGACAGGCTACAATGGAATAATCCTTTGACCATCCAGAATCTCTCAGTTAGGTGAAGGGAACTGCGAATTGGAATGGCTCAGTCAAACCAACTAAAAAATGAAAAAATCTTATGTAGTGTGTGTTTCTACAGCAGTGCTGCCTTGGCCCATCTACAGGTCTAAACATCTTACTGTGCTCTTGCCTGCATAAACTTCCAAATTTTGAGGTACTGGCATCAGCTTTCTAATAGAACCCTCCTGATTATTGGACTTCTGTGAAGTGTTTGGCTTTAAACACTATTTATAACTGTGCTTTGATTGAATCTTCAAAGCATAAAGAACTACAGAGTTGTCTGTAGGGAAAGTTGCTTTTCCAGCTGTTTGGTTCAGGCTTTGGGTTGAGCTCTATTCCACCATCCAGCTTTTAAACCGTGCTTTGAGAATAGCCATCAAAGTCCTCCATCCGTGAGGAAGTTAGTCACTGCAAATGGGCAAAATACTGCTACATCTGAAACCACCACTGGGTTTAATTAGTCTTTAAATGGTCAGAGTTAATAGCTACTACAAAATCATGATGTTCCAGCAGAGCAGAAAGTCCTCTCAAGTATAAATATTGTTGAGTTTGTGGAGCTGCCAGATAACTTTCACTGGGGCCTAATCTAATCGTGTGCTGTAGATGCAGGGACTCACTCACCACTAACATGCAAAGGCCAACGTGTGCTGCCTGATTCCCCAGGAAATCGCAGGTGACCGGTGCCAGCAGCACGGCTCTTCTCCTCGCGCAGGCTGGCTTTACACTTGCAAGTGCCTGCAATTTGAGATCAAGAAAAATCAACCTAGTCCACACTCTCGAGTCTTCAAATATGCAAGCTTCTCTTCTTCGCAGCCCTTTGCTCACGCTTTTGTAATTCTCATCTTCCCTTGTCTGCGTGCTCTGTGACTGCATTAGCACCTGCCTCTGCACTTCTTAGACTATTTTCCTATCATGTCATGGATACGTGAGTCATCTTATTTGTGATCTGCCGAGCTGAGTGAGAGTCATAGTAGAGTTGTGCGCTTCAAGGCCATTAGTAACGCTGCTAAAACTTGCATAATATATTCTTCTGTGTCTAAATCCCTGAGAGATTGAGTAACTGTTTTCTTTTTCACCCCAAGTGACTATGCAACTGGATGAGTCACTGCTGTTATGATAGAGGAATTGCAGCCTTTGTGCTTATCCAGTTTTGTTTGGCCAGAAATTTATTTTACAGGACACCTTTGTTCAATCTCCTCTAAGTCCTTATATGTTACCAGAGACCTTTTCACTGACTTCAGTACACTGTAGATCATGTGCTCTGGCCTGGAAACTGTGTTAGTTTAGGTTATTGGTAAAACAGATGGAGAAATGTTGACTTTTATCCAGTACCCTGGAATGATATTACTAAGCTGTTTCATCTCATTGTTTATGGAAGCACTAGTGAAACTTAAACGTATTAAAAATTATTTAAATTACATTAAATAAAAGCTTATTTAAAACAAAACAAAACACAAACAGATATACTGGAGGGAATATTTTGCACAAAAGCTCTGCAGTGACATCTGTGAATGAACCACGGAGAGGACTAGCAACAGATGGCTAGTAAAAAGGAGGAGGGAGTGAAAGGTGGCCTCAGGTGGTAGGTGAACGTGGTATCCCTGCAAACAGCGTGGGCTGTGCAGACAGGGCCCTCTCGGCAGCAGGATCTGACCCCGGAGGGGCTGAGTTGTCAGAGCAGCCTTAGCCCTGCGACAGCAGCCGGCGGTAACTGTCCCAGGAGGAGCCAGGGGCGTTGCTGGAGCTTGGCACCTTCCCCCGGTCCTGTAGGCGAGACAGCATTAGTACAGAGCATCACCCCTGCTCTGCCTGGCAGTGCTGATCCAGGCTTGGTGTTGATGCCACAGCACCTCAGTCTGTACAGGTCAACAAGGTTCCTGGTTTTAAGTAGCCACTTCAAGAGTGGGTAGCCACAAAGCAAGCCAATCTTCTACTTGAGCATTGTCCAAGCACACTTATAAATTTTGCTGAGTTTGTTTAAAATGTTTTTGTGGTTTCGCTTGCCTGACATATTTTTTTTTATTAAGCCAGGCTTTATTTCCCCTGTCTCTGTGACCCCATCTCTCCCATGAGAGCCTGCACTGAAATCCAGCTGGCCAGCCCCCTCGTATCAGCGATCACTGCAGCAGAACAGCTTCTATTGAAACAACAGTGGGAGGAAAAGTCAGGAATTTCTGTATTTATTCCTGCCTCGAGCAGTGACGAGTTGTGTGGCTTTAGGTGAGCCACAGGACTGTGTGAGTCAATATGTAATGTGAGAAAATGAGCATATCCCTGAGTCGTAGCAGGCTCCATTAGTTCATCTTTCCATACAGCTTAAAATCAGACGAGTGCCTGACCCATTTTTTTCTCATGCTAAAAAGTGTAATACAGGATCATACTGGCCATTGTCATTGTCTCTTTTTCCATTGTCACCCACACTGGTGCTGCTGCTTTCCAAGATGCTCTGAAGCTAGTGAAATAGGTTTTCTCATAAATCTTTTAAATCATGTAAATCCTCCCAGTGTACCAGCTGACGTTTTAGATGCTGCATTTTTGCACTTGTGCCAGAAAGCATTTAACATGTTACAGTTGCTTATGTTGTTGTATTTTTTTAAAGAAGGGAAAACAGTTCCTTCCTCTTGTGTCTCCAGCAGAGAGACTGTTTCTTCTTGAAGAAGGAGTTCACATGATCATATAGATGCGTCAGATAAATCCCTTCCCACGTTTGATATTTTCTAAGTTGAATGATTGTTATTCCAAAGCCAATAGCTGGGATGGTTGTGTGATTTAACATCTCTGGAGCAATTTTTTTCTTCTGTTCACAAGCTTTAAAGAAATTAAGTCTAAAAATGAAATCTGTCAACGTAGAAAGACTCATTACCCAAACACTCTTGGCTGAGTTATCTTCACAAATATTTCTCCCTGTTTGTTTGTTTAAATTTGGCCAAGAGTTCCAGAAATACTTTTAAGATAACAAAAATGGGCATCCAGATCAGAAAGGAACTCTGTATTTAGAAACTCTGAAATACTACTGAGGGGGGGCTGTGCTGTTAACTCTTTTCTGGTTGCTCTGAACCTCCATGGTGTTGGAGAGTAAGTCATGGCATTCTTCTTTGTATAAATGTTTTTCCCATCCTAGATGATTTAGAAAAAGAAGTACCCTAGGGGAGACTAATAATACAATACCATCTCCTGTCACATCATTGAGTTCAATAGGGTTGTTGCCCGAGAGAGTCTGAATCAAGCAGTTTGCTGCAGGCAGTGTAAGGCAAGAGCTGACTGAGTGTAAGGCAAGAGGCTCGGTAGTCCCTGTGTCCGCGTGCGCTGGGGGCAGAAACAGCTACAGGCTTAATTCGGGGAGGGAAGGAAGGGGGGCAACTGAGGGCTGAGTGCAAGTTTATCTGGGGGATCTTACAACCCAGCTTCCCGCCGCAGAACACACTTGAGGACACTGAGCCTCTACTACAAATTCACACACATGGCTTTTTAAAACGTATGCTGAGGGTGTCATGTTATTGAGCGCCCATAGGAAACAAAAGCAGGGCACCTTGCTAAGCTTGACCTCCACAGGCATTTCAGTGGCAGAAGCAGAGTGACTTCTCCCTATTATAAGGACTAATTCAGTTCTGAATTTGCCATCTTTATGAGATAATGGCAGAAGGGTTTTTTTTCAGATTCTAAAGGATGGCTTACAATTTTTAACTAAAGTGACTGTTAGTATAACTGTATTTGTTACTGTGCTTTTAGGGGCTTATGCAGAACCCGATGCCTTGACAGGCCTGCAGTGCGGTTCTTGTGGATATTTTCCTTTCAAAGCTGTTTTTTCCAAACATGTATTTAGTATCATTACAGTCCTCAAACAATTTAATGCAAGAATGGCAAGAGCCATTCAAAACGAAGCAGAAACGGACATGCTGGTGCCCATGTGTACGTCAGAAAATTTCACCGCGCTAGCAGTGGTTTCTGGACTGAGCAGCCCCTGCAAGAACACAGAGACTTTGGGGAGATACAGCAGTGTAAACGAGGTGTCTCTTCTCCTTTCCTGCTTGCATGGGTTTCATCTCACTGCCTTGAAGCTGCCTGCAAGGTAAGTATCTAATCCATGGCAGTTAGTGAGCTCTCCCTCTGCCCAGTGAAGATGGACAGATGGGATGAATTGTTCTCTGACATCAGATCTACCACCGCTCCCTTAGTCCTGGCCTCTACTTACTGTCACAGGAACTTTGATGTCTTATTTTTGGATGAGTTTTTGTGGGTTTAGAATGAAAGTCTGATTGTAGCCGGATACTAATTTCATTGGAAAAAAAAACAAAACAAAAACAAAACATTCAAAACCTGATGCATGCTGGTCAACGAGCAACGTGCCAGGCAGTGGTAATCTCAACTCAATTATCTGTCTGTAGGGGCTGAAATTTAGTTAGCATTTTATGGTTAGGTACCAGCTGGTGTTAAGATGTTGCTTAACTAAAGAGCCATTGTTTACCGTTAATAAAACTGATACCATGACACATTCCTTATGGTGTAGATGTGCTATCATATCTTGGCAACGGTAGCAGGAGAAATTATTCTGCCCGGCTTGCAGTCTTGTCTTCATTGTAAAAGGAAAAATAATGAGGCTGTAATTACCCAGCTTGGAACTAAATGAACCCAGCCAAAAATGCTGAATGATGAAAGATGACTCCTTATAGCTTCCCAAACTTAGCTTGTTTGGATCCCATCACTGGTGGTGCCAGTGTCAGCTCCTGGCTCTCACTGGGCTGGATCCATCGCCAGCAGGCACAGCTCAATTGTTTCAACTGTGGTGGTGTCGCAGTTTGAAGAACTGTTGAACAAATTGTGGTAAATATACCATAAGCCTTGCCAAAATGATCTGTTTACATGAGGAAGTCAGCACGCAGCCGTTCAGGATGAAGTTCATAGCACACAATCCCCTCCTTATTAATTCTTGGGGTAAAGAACCCTATCATGTAGTGGTTTACTCCAAATTAGTAATTATTTTGCAGATGGGATCACACACTCCTCCTTCCAACATCCAGTATTTCAATATCAAAGCTGAAGTTTCTCTAATTTTGCATCTTAAATTTATCTAATAAACCAGTAGATTCGATGAGTCCTTTTTTTTTTTTTTTTTTTTTTTTTTTCCCTTAGTGCAAATAAATATGGGAAAAGGGGGGTCTGTTATTCCATTATTTCTAGCTCTCAGTTTCACACAGTTTCTTGTTAACCAACAGTGCAACAGCTGGCAGACTTACTTCCCAAACTGGTTTAGATACTGAAAGGCCGGTGGCCTTCTGCCTTCAGCACAGAAGTGGTGTGTTTGGTGGAGCTGTTGGAGAGACAAGGATGAACTTCCCATAGCAATGAAGAGGCAGAAAGTAATGCTTCTAGATGCCCATTCTTGTTCAGCTCACCCTTGAAGACTGCTGAGATGTAATTGTATTATTAATGATATGTTACAGTACCTGGAGAATTGGATAAATAATAACTAAAAAGGCCTTTTCATCAAAATAAAGAGGATTTTCCCTCCTGGTTGCTCAGCTTGAGCGCTCATTTCTGCAGGAGCGCCGGCAGTGCTGCCGCGGAGCACACACCTCTTGTCCCAACAGTGAGATGCCTGCCGGTTGCCATAGCGACGGGGAGCGCGGGGGCCGTTTGGGGTGTCAGTGCTGCAGCGCGGGCGCCCGCTCGGTGCAGCATCCCCTTGCTGTGCAGCTCGCTCGGCCGCCCAGGTCCCAGCAGCTACGGCCAGCTTGGGAAGGGCAGCTTGCGAAGTGCCCGTCTGTAGGGCGGGCTGCGTTACTGGTATTTGGCTTGTTGCAGAGGTTGCTCCCTTGAACGTGCCTTTGCAGGATGGGCAGCATATAGAAATAGGTTGAAATACAGAAATATATCTGTCCATATAGAAATAACGGCATAACTGTTGCACCGACGGCTTGCAGCATACACAGCAGGTCACCAATATTGCAGCAGCCACCCTTGCATGCAGGGAGGAGCTATTAGGCGGCACGGCAATTTGGGCAAAGGATATTTTGGATGGTGAGCGGCATTTACACCTCACTCAGCATTAGAGGGCAAGGAACCCAGACCCAAAACCAGCCTTTAAAATCAAATATGACTGAAACTTTCAGACCCAGGGCAGCCTGGATGGTGGGCTTTTATTAAAGGGTCTTCTGCAAGACCTTATAAGACATCTAGCTCAGGACTGTATGGAGCTAAGGTTTTAACGTATAGCTCAAGGAAGCTGCTGTCTAGTTAAATGTCACTGTTAAATTATTCTTGCAGTGGATAATCTGAATAAAAATACTTGGTGCTTTATCAGGCCAGATTTTACAAAGCAGAAAACAATTACTTGACAGATGTTATAAAAGGAAATTATTTAATCCACAAATGTGAGTGGCAACTGGGATCTGTATGAGAACATTAAACACTGGGTCCAAAAAGCTGTAATCCTCCAAAAAAGTGAAAATTTTACACCTGTCCAAAAAACCCAAGCCCAGCTTTGGGAGAAGGCAAGAATCTGAAACAGAGTGAGTGAATTAAGGGAGTAGGTGGAACCCTTCAAAAACTGGAAATGCTAGAATAACCGTAAGAGAATAGTCATGACACAAAAAGCAGTAAATAAAATACATCTCAAGAGCAGTGGGGAGTGAGATTGACCATTACTAGGTGAGGAAGGTCTGCTGGCATGGACCTACAAGAGCATCAGGCTGTCCATCTGTGACAGACATGGAAGAGCTGCCAGTAACAGTGTGGACAAGGTTAATGTTCTGGGCTGGGTGATAATCTGTCTCCGTAGTGGTCGTTTAGCCTTCTGTCCTTCCACCAGCCAACTGCCAAAAGGAGATGGTAATACCTCTTTTATTTTTGTCTGTATTGGCTATTTAAAGGATTCGGCTTTAAGGCTGGCACTGCGCCTTAATATTTACTGCTACAGTAGGGATGGAGCGTGTGGTCTCAGTTGGGGACACTGGTGCAGCACCACCAGGATTACTCGAGACTCGATGGCTCTGCCTCCTGGCAAATTCCCCCTGCCCCGCAGCAGCCCGCATTCCTGCCAGGAGCCCCCACCGTACTCTGCCCGTGCAGTCGGTAAGGAACACCAGGGTTTTGTCAGCCCCTGCGTCCACCCCGGGGGGGCAGAGCCCTCCTCTGGGCCACCCAATGTGGACGGTGGCCCTGTCACCTTTGCTTACACCTCCCTGTGTCAGCCACTGCATGCCTGGGCAACACCTGGAACCCAGGGCAGGCTCCCAGTACGGCGCTGGGAGCAGAGGGCTGTATGCAATGCCTGAGCGAAATGCTCCCAGGTCACTAGGCGAACCCTGTTTTTATTTCATGTACAGTCTCAGCACAAACAGAATATTTTGTTCCCTGACCAGAACATGGAGCTCTTCCCATGGAGCGCCCTGAACTCCCGCTGTTCTCAGACCAAATCGCAGGGATGTTGCACCTCCCCGGTCTCAGTCTTTATGTCCTTGGGAACAGCTAGAATAGATAAATGGCACCGTGTCTAAGGGCGTGGGATGGCACAGGACACGGGAACAGCCTTGTTGAGCTTATCCTGGCTGTTGCAGTGGCCAGCTGCTTCACGGGAAGGCATCTATTTACACGTACTCCCTTAATGAAATGACATGGAAAGCAGGGAATCATGCCGGGAGGTTAAGCTGAAATTTTTCCCACGTTAGGTAGAAAGTGAGTGTATATGGCAAAACCTGAAGATCGCAGTCCTTTGACTCACAACAGAGGATTAATAACCAAAGTTTGATCCCTCACCATTCCAAAGAAGGAGTACCCTGTTCAGAGTCTGTAGAATAAAATCATGTGAAAGCCTATTTAGCTGGAAGCATAAGTCAGGATCAAAATATTTAGATGGCTTCTGCACATCTGCAACAGAAATCCTTGTCTGGTTGCCAAACACTGGGGAAAAATCACCACCGTTGGCTGGGTGGCTCTGGCATATATTATAAAGCTGACAGAGATGACTATTTTCTTCTCACTTATCTGCATACCCCTTTGCTCTCCAAAAGGAAGAAGCACTACTGCCAACCCAGCCTGCTACTATTCTTCCACCTAGCCCCGCTAGCAAAACAGAGGGACAAAGGGAAGGAGTACCTGTGTGTGGGCCTCCGAAGATCTCCTGCTTCCCTGCCAGCAAGACCTGCGCTGTCAGCTGCGATCAACTTAAGCAATACCTCTCCGGTTGCACCTTCTCATCCTGACAATCATTTTTAGCTCTTTCTGTATATCCACCCCTTCTTAGCAAGCAGAATGAACCTATTCAATTAATACTTGCACGTTCCCCACCCCCACCCCAAATACGTCCCTGAGCTGACGGAGATGTTGCTGTTCACCCTGTGTCCCAAACAAGAAAGCTTTCACCAGCGAGATGATTTTCTGGTGAAGCATGTGCTTGGATGCATGACCTTTGTGGGTTTACACTGAAGAAGCTTCTGGATTCCTTTAGACAAACAAATCCCTTACTGAGCAGGATTTATGCTTGTTTTGTAGTCTTTGTGCCGCTAGCCAGCTGCCACGCTTTCTCCTATCAGCAGCAGGTAAAGTGCTTCTTATACAGAGTGTGTAAGGGAGTTTGTTATGGGCTTTGGGACCCTTTGGGTAAAACGTGGCACAGGGCAGTGCTGTCACTGACTGGCAGCTCTGGCTTGCCACAACATTTGAGTTGGAGACCTGCTTGGATCTGTGGCATGTGCAAAGAGGTAACCATCAAGTGACTTCTTTTTCAAGAGCCTCTGGATAGAAGGAATTTTGCAGAAACGAAGGATTAGAGGGTGCATGTCCACGATGGACTTTCAGCAAAGGCTTTGAACTGGACTTTGGGGACTATCAAAAAAAAAAATTGTTTCTTTTCCAAACTGAATACTTTCCCTAGGGAAAAAGGGGGGAAAAAAAAAAGCAAGTTTGGTCTGAGACTCCAACCTATCTAGCCAGGACAAACCTTTCAGAGGTGTTTGGCTCAGCAGGCAGAGGAGATAAGGTCACCGGGGAGTAGTGGCCGGGAAGGGGGAAGGGATGAGCTCGTGGAGTGAAATTGCCCAGAAGCAAAGCACAGCCACTCACTTTGCAGTGAAAAGCTTTATCATCTTTGCACAGATTACTGCAGCTAAAAATATCTCCAGCTCAAAGTAAACAGTTTTTTGAGCGTGCTCTGCCCTGCTGGCACGTCAGCCCCGCACCGAGCCGCCGTGCCAGCAGCCACGGTGCGCGTCCCCGCGGTCCCAGCGCCGAGGGGCTCCCCACCGCCACACGCTGCTCTTTGACCCTGCCTGCCAATCGAGCTGACCCCGGAGGGGGTTCGCTAATGAGTTTAGCCTCATTACAAGCTTTTTGTTTTTTGTGTTTCGCCTGTTGATGAACCTTTCTGGATGAACAGCTCCTATAAAAACAAAATGGGTCCAAACGCCGAGTAATTCATTCAGACATGCCGACACCCACACTCTCTTCCCTAATCAACAGCAAAATGTGTCTTGGACAACAGAAAGAGTAGCTTGTCACTAAAGCTGCTTCTACCTGTTGGTTTCTCTTCTCACGAATCTCCAAGTGCAAGCTGTTATTTAATGGCTTAAGACATTCACACTTTCCTTAGGGAGTCCAGCAGACTGTTGAAATATGTTCTGTGGTTTTTTCGATCAAAAGTTTATTTAAAGTATTTATTTTAGGGCAGAAAGTCTGGAAAAAAATCAGGTTGTCACATTTTTTCCATGCGTCTCTTGTGCCATTCCACATTTCCTTGCAATCTTGATGACATCAAGCGACACGGAGAGCTCAATGCCTGGGAAATGCGGTGGGAAGCTGCTCTTACGTGAGGAGGCTTCATGCTACATCAGCGGGCTATCGCAGCACTGCTCTAACCCTGGCAGCATAAGCTTCTGGGGGAAGCGAGGCTCAGGCTGCGAAAACATTCAGGTCAGAGGCAGGTCAGATCCTTCTGAAGTGACAGCTGGTCTCCTTGGGCTTTGGAGCTTCCCGGATGGTCATTGTGCCGGTGGTTTTTCTTGCTGGAGCAGGCAGTGTGCAATCCAGCACTGCAGCTCTGCTCCAGGGGTGGGTTTCTTTACGTTAGCACCCTCAGGGATACTCTCACCTCATTTTGACACTTGCCCTACGAGATTGCTCTGGTTTTGTCCTTCCTCCAGCTAAAGGTTGACAGTCAACCCGTGGGACAGCTTCTTGCTCTTTCCTGAGCCGTGCTCTCCCATCCTGTGCTGCGCCAGAGCAGTGAAGATGGCACCCGCAGCCCAGGCTGCAGGGCACTGCAGGACCATCCCTTCCCTGGGGTGTTGCTCTCTGCATCCCACTCTGTGATGCAGAGCTGAAAAAAATTGCTGCAATTCTCTGCAGACCAACTGCATGGTCAACAGGAGCAGGAGCCGACAGTCCAGAGCAGCAGTGTCATTACCACCAGTCCTAGACCATGCAGGATAGCACGGCATAAAGCAGATGGATGCAACAGGCAGCAAAAACCTCGCCAAGGACAAGCGTATTAGTAAAGTAGAAGCCAGTGGAGGCTGACTGTGGCTGCAGCTGAGTCAGTCGGCTCAAGGCTGTAATACCATCCGTCACACAGAGCGTGCCATGCCAGGCAGCTATAATGTTGTCTCATTATGGCAAGATAGAAGCTGCATTTATTCATAGCCCACACCTCCAGGTGAACATCTTACGGTATATGAAGCAATAGAACAAGAGATGGTGAACCTGAGTTAGAAGTTCAGGTGGATTTCCAGAGACAAATGTCAACTTTCATTTAAAAATAGGAAGACTGAATACATTGAAAGCCATGCATTTTTATCCTAATGTGTTAAGATTTCAGGCAAAATTTTTGGCATCTTAGGATTTTTTTTTTTCCCTTGTGGGGAAAAAAAAAAAAAAAAAAAAAAAAGATATGTTCTGTAGAAAATCCCAAACTGCTTTTTTCTACTTTAAAAGAGTTTTGATGGAAAATATTTGACCAGTCCTTGTAGGGGATAGTATTGGATGAGGTCACTGCAAGGACACGTCAGTGTGTGCAGAAAAGGACGGACTCTTTGGTGGATGCTCTGGGGGGGCTTGTTCCCAGGACCAGACACACAGGATTGGGAAGTTTAAGTAAGACAAGACACATCTTATTTTAAAAGCACATATACTGTGCTCCTGGATTTCCAAAGTGCTTTGTTGTTGCCTTTGCTATATAGTGCTTGCATTGTAACGGTGCTGGCCACAGGCTGCCAAGAAAATGCCTGGGTTGCTGGCATAGCATTTGCATCCTTACCAGATTTGGCCTTCAAACCTCGCAGTCCAAGCGTTGGTGTAAGGCTGTAGCCTTCTGGAAAGCTTTCAAATACGAGCTGGAGTAAAGAGAAAACTACAGCCTTGTCCGGGCGAGTGTAGCAACCTCCCGAGGCTGTGCTGGTCCGTCGTTACAGCGGGGCAGAACCCTCCTCCCTCCGTTACATCTGATGAAGATAAACAGGGCGTTGTGGTGAATCTCTTACCGTTACTTTCGGGTAAGTGGTAAAGCACTGGAGAGAGATGAGTTTCTGCCAAGTGATGTATCTCAGGAGATCAAACTGGCTTCCCAGGGCTGGTTTTGAAATAAAACCAAATTGAATCAGGGGGCAGAGCTACACGAGGTCGGTTTGGGGATGCACTGAGCATGGGTATGTTTTGCTCTGTTGAAGTCTGAAGTTCCTCCGTGCCTCAGTATTGTCATCAGGGTGTTTCCTGCACTGCCTGCTGATTTTGTTGGTGTTTTTATCTCTTCCTGCATGCGATGGCAGGGGTGTGGGTATCTATCACAGCAAATGGCATGTATTCGGGCACGCACAAACAGATTCTGGCTGGAGGCGGAGAGGCCAGCAGGGATGGAGCAGGTCTGGCTGCACAGCCGGTGCTGGGGCGAGAGGAGAGGCTGGTGCTCCCCGCCGGCACCGAATGGCTCCGGGGCACATCTGTCATGGGAGAGCTGCAGGGTGGCAGAGATGCCGCTTCTGTGTCTGCTTGGCGCTCAGCGAGATGGCGGGTTGGGAGAGCCAAGTCCTCCTGGCTCATACTACTCACTTTGCATGCAACTTGAAATAAGAGCTCGTCTAGCTCAAGTGGGGACCGGGTCTGGCCCTTGGCAAACACCCCTTGTGATCTCCAGTTGAGCTGTGTCACTTCTCTTCCCCCTTACGAGGCTGAGGACTGGAGTGTCCTTACAGCAGGGATGGAGTGAGTCTTTCAGTCTCTCAGCAAAGCAATTAGCACTGATGATCCCTGTTCCAGTATGGGTGTTCAGGCAGGAGCAGGTGCTCACACACCTTCCCACCATGCCGGTAGGGCTGGGCAGGAGCGTGGGCCAGGAGGACAACTGGAGCCCCGGCACTGAAACCAGCTTGTCTGTTGGGCTTCAGCCTCCCGGTGGGGTCTCCAAGGCAGACCTCACGCAGGGAGGTGATACCACCCAGAGGGACAATCCTGGCCCCCTGTGGGGCCGAGAACAGCCAAAACTTCCTCTTTTCCTGGAGTCACCCCAAGCTCTCCAAGCGCTCCCAGGCTGTGCTTCACAGCAGGGTGGATACAAAGGTATGTGCTGGATAGGCAGTATCGCCTTGCCCTGAGCACCTTGCCCCCCTTAAATCAGGGTGCTGACACCAGCTGTGTGTTGCACCCCCAAATAAGGCTGGCACCCAGGGGCAGATGAGCTGAAGTACGTTTGGATTTTACCCCGTGGGAGTCAGTGGAGCAAAAAGCACTCTTAAAAGACACAAAGCTGTATTTTTGCTTGGGAGGCACTTCCCTGGCGCTACAGCGGGTAAAACAGCTCAGGCTGCATGGGGTGCAACGGTGCCTTTGGCCAGGCCCTGACGGAGAGGACGAACGGCGGGATGCAGCTGGGACGTGCACCCGAGCGATGCGCCGGAGAAACCTGGGGGAGCGGCGGGAGGAAGCGCCCGGCAGCAAAAACACAGCGCCGAGCGTCGAAGGAAGGATGTTCGGGCACATGCAGCTGCCGGGAGCTGGGGTTACAAGGCAAAGCTGAACAAAGATCGCTGTGAAAAGGAAACGGATCCCTCCTGCCGACTGTAAGGTAGGAGCCGAGCGGTAGCTGCTTGACATCATCGGGATGAGCATTGGATTACAGCAGGCAGGGACTGACTCGGGAGGGGAGGAGAACACGCCCCTCGGCCCCAGAAGTGCAACTTCATTTAGCAGCTCCCAGTACAAGGAAA